GATATCGCACTGGTTTATAATGAACCCAAGAGATGAGGGCGGCTTTTTGTCATAGGGACTTTATTTACCTTTTACCGTGGATACAATCAGCATAACATTCTGTAGCGTAGATATAAAGACCGAGATGGTGTGATCCCTTGTTTTGTCGCAGTCGCCTTTAGCTGTTAAGTGTTTGCGGAAACTCATTTTTCCAGATCTTGTGGCACGTGCCTAGTCCTTCGTCCTATGCCCGAGCGCTTGTTATGATTTCCAGCATCAAACCGATTACTCGGGACTGATGATACAGAATTATGCGCTTTCCTTAAAATTTCTCTGCTTCTTCGAGCAAGTTGAGAAAACGAGGTCGAACGAATTCTGTACCACAGTTGTAGAGACTTTCATTTCGTACAAAAGTGTATGATGAAGACAATTGTTGGTTGATCTGACCGTAAGCCGACGGCCTACTCTCATGGTTCTGGCAATGCTTGATTTTGACACGATTTTCAGGTTGACGCAGTCCTAAAGACATCCTCTCTCGTTTCGGGTGAAAGCATGCTGGGCATTTTGCGTCGTATGCTGGATTTGAGCGAATATGTACTCATCGTACCGTCCTAAAAACCATGTATATTCGTGCCAAGGGGACGGTACGCAGAGGACGTATTTTTATAAATCTACCGTCACAACTCCCACGCAAACCTCCTTCGGCTTCAGGCCAATTAAGTAGTCATTTTAAGTAACATCTACAAACAAAATAAAAAGTAGGCCAAAATTAATCTATAATGGGATTCTCCCAAAACCAGTTTTTCTTCAAATATTTCAAGATAAGTTGCATAGAGGCAAATAGAAAATGCCTTTGGTGAAGCATGGTATTGGGATCGTTTGACATGACAGGCACACGATTATGGGCAATGGCATTAATTTCGTAGGGAATATTCTCTTAAGAAATACATTACTGTGTGAATAATAACTTTGGAAGGCTAGACGAATTCAGGTGAGTTCAGGATTGCTGGTTGAATTATTCTAAAATGAGGGACGCAAGGGAATTTCACTTAATC